AATTGCAAGTTTTTATTATTTTTATAATTATTGATAAAATAGAGCTAATTCTTAATTCATCCTAAAAGTTATTTAGCTTTCAATAAAATGACTCTTGAAACAAGTAACAAAATTTTAGAAACAAGGTGAAATGTATTTATATTAAGTTCCCATCCTTCAACATTACACTCTTTGCATTAACCATTTTCTTATAGAGTACACTCTTTTTGCTATTGCAATTAGCAATTATAACATCAATCAAATAGTATACTTCAATTTAGATTAGCTTAGAATTTTCGGTTTCAGATCCAAAATAAAACTTAAATTTGATAGAATATAAAATTATAGGTACAGGTGAGATTGTTGGTTATTACACATTAATAATATTACAAGGTATTTCAGTTAGCTTGCTATATCATTTTTGAAATTGCATAGATACTCAAAACTGAAATCCAAACAGTAGCAATTATTGCAGAATTAATAATAAACAGAAAGATTATATCATCACTAACTACCTTTTTCGGTATCTTATTAATTTTGAGTCTTCTTTAGTCTGAGAAATCAAAAATCTGTTAAATAAAGTTACATTGAGTAAATCCAACAATTTCTAAGTAGGTTTATACATTATATGGGAGTTATGTGTTAATGTATTTCGAAAAAAAGATATTTTTTCAATTATTGTATTTTACTTTAGCATTTAAGGAGTATCCAAAGAATTAAAAAAACATTAACTCTACCGAATATCACTGATACACTACACATTGCCCCAATAAAGCTGAAGAGTTACTCTTAGTTGCTAATTGCATTTGAGCAATGGTGAAATCACCTCGAGATTAAACTTTTGGCATAAAGCAATATGCTTTCGTTTCGATTCAGAATTATATATACATAGATAATATACATTGAAAGAGACGTTACAATTTTGGCTAATTAGATTTCTTATCAAATTTTTGAGAAAGAGATATTTATCAATAAACATAATTTAGATTCATTAAACTCATTAATCATTGGATTATTTTGAGTAAGTTGGATGGGCTAGTCCATTTTAAACACCAAGATAATTCAATGATTAATGAAATGTTAAATAGTCTTTAATTTGAAAACTTTCATTAACAACAATGAGAGAAGTAAAATATAATTTGAAAAATCGAATAGTAGAGTAAATTTAAGAAGAACTTGAACTCTTTAATAAGGGTTTTCCATAATTTGGCACTATATGATGAGGAAATTTAATCTAATTATGCTTCCACCTTTTACAATAATATACATATTTTCTAACTCATTTTAATAATCGCATCCATCGCCTTTAATAATATTCCCATCATCACATTACTTTTCATTTGCTTTAATGTAACCTCTACATTGTTTTAAGCAAGTAGCATTTATTTCATCAGCATAATACCCAGATTCATAGATTTAATTTTTATGATTCTTTATTAGAGAAACTTACAACTTATACATTTATAGGCTAATCAATACATTCTAAATAATAAATTGATCATTCAACATAGTTATTTTTATCTAAAAATTATCTCATTCAAGGATTTAATATATTTTGACATTATTTTTTTAAGAATTAAGTTGGCATTTAATGCCATTAGTTGAAAATTGAAAACATATTGATTTTTTAGTATTTTATTAGAACAAAATAGTTTTGATCAATCCTAAAATTTGAGCAACCTTCTCTAATTATAGTAGACATGATTATTCTCAATTCTTTAAACATCATTTCCATTATTAGATTTTTCTCTTTACAATTCTCATGTTTGCAACTTTTATATGATTTCCCCAATAATAGCAAAATGAAATGAAAACTGTATCTTCATTTTCAAAATTATTTTTAGCAACACAAACATCTCCTATTCTTTAAAATTTGTTAAAGTTTTTAATTACAACTTAGGTAAATTATGCAAGTTTAATAACATTGAGAAGACCTGTTTTGATTTCAGAAAAACCCTGTATACTTTTAAATTGAGCATTTTAATCTAAGAGTAAATTAGACACAGATTGATTATTTTGAACTTTCTTACCCTTTTGCGGGTAATGTATTTAACAATAACAATAATAAAATCAAATAAATAAGCTACCACAAACTATAATTGAATACATTCTCAAAATATTGTTTAAATTAAGCATGCTTTACATGGATGTTCATATCTATACCATAGAGATTCTACTATCCATAGTATCCAACTTTCCAGTAACATCAATTATTAGAATAATTGAATCTACAAGTAAGACATTTTTTAGATAGCCATTGCAAGTTAAACAATTTCGATTTCATAGCTCAAATTTCTAATCCAGTAGAAAATGGCCATTCAAACATACATCAGAATTTAATGGATTTCCAAATATCTTATAAGAATGAACACATGTTTCCCTTTGTGTCAATTAAAATATAAAGTATCCTTCTTAACTAGTTTGGCAAATAATTTGATTATAGCAGATATCGCAATAATCAATAAATTTTAAACATCAACAATTATCTGATCCATAGAAATCATAACGATAATGATCACAACAAAAATTTCCTTTCCTTACATAGACATTAATACACATTTACATATTGTATATAAAAATTCTAAAAATGGTAATTAACATTTGATGCTGGCGATACCATCTGTATTTAAAATATGACCTATGTTGCAAACACATATTTGAATTAATGACTACTTCATTAATATCCACCCAAGTTAATCAATAGTTCTGATTATATTCAAAATTTGAAAATAGACTTACACCTTACTAACATATTGAGGATCAACAGAAAATAGCCGGGCTGCAATCTCATAGATATTGTATACTCAGACTTAATGTATAAGTAGAATTGCGCTCCGAAGAATTATTAGCATTATATTCACACTTTGTACATGAAGCAGTAAAAAGTTAGCATTAATTTAACCCATCAATTTAATATCTATCAGTAAAAACCCATTAAAAATTGATTTTTGTTTTAATGGTATCAATGCAAGCAATGCAACCAGTTGGGTTGTTGATACATTCAGAACACACCGTGAATTAGAAAAGTATTTGCCAGCATTGCATGATGCACAAGTACAATAGTATTTTCACAAGAAAGCATATCAGAATTTGCAATTAATTACAATAAGTAAATAGTGATCCCCACAGGTTTAAAATATTGTGTATACAAATTAAAAACAGCTTATTGACTCATAAATTTAAATATTTTCTATACAGTAAAAGATGAACAGGTAACACAATATATGCGAGATATGTAAAACTTAGGATAGCATGTTGAGCAAAATCTTTACTTAAAAATAGGAGGGCTTGACATACATTTAACTATTTTCCAAACTTGGCATTAAATTAACAAGCAAGACATTGTGTTAAAACTGATTAAAAACCTGGCTAACATCTAGGCCACATTTATAATTTTTATTAGATGAACAATCCTCACATGAACCTCAACTTTAGATTGACCTAAATTGAGACCCCATATTACTAAAATTGTATAAGTGTCCTTAAATATATAGTTCATCAAAAATAAAGTTGACTCAAAACAAGTAGTTGGACATTAAAACAATAAAATAATATATGAATAATAATATGATATAATAAGAGGTGAATAGATATAGTTTATATCAGTTTTACAAATTCTAAATGCATTGCTTTTATT